AAAGATCAATTGTGTGCTATTGCACTCAAGAAGAGAAATTAAATTTCTAGAGTTTTACTCAAAATGGTTGCTATGAAAACCAGCCACAGCTTTTTGAGGTAGTGTTTTATAGTATTGACGCCAACACTTCCTGCTCTTTTACAAAACAAGATTTGACTGTCAAATAAGCATATCATGTAAGTTTCTGTTTTGTTCTGTGCAATGAACCTAAGTTTTGACATTTAACTCTTCAGTTTCAGTGCTTTTTACAGCTTTATTTGGAAATAACCTTATTTTTTACCACACCCAGTGAACATCACCATATTTTAGGGTATCATACCCCCTTAACCGAGCGCGAGGGTCTTTCTGGGAGATTATCGGTCCGAGCCTCTTGACAGTAAAAGACTAAGAGCTGATATTCTCCCATGACGCAAGCTAGGTTGATAAGGGATTTATTACACGGCTGAAAATGTTTAGAAAAAATGCCACCATCGAGGACTGGAAAAAAGCGCGCAATTCTGATAGGGTGCCTACTGATGTTAAACAAAACAGATGGCAAAAAGAGTTGGAAGAAAAAGAAAAGGGAACGTTTAAAGCAAGTTAATTCTTTCAGAGGCGTAAGCCATAAAACAAGCAGAAAATCCTCAAAAGAACGTGATCATGTGGGATCATTCGGGACAATGCCAGGTCCAATACTAAGAGAACCCCACTGGACTGGCAATGGGGCAATCTGATTGGTTGATTTTAGTTATTGCCCCTCTAAACTAACTTAGTCGTGTAATAAAATATGTTACGCCTTTTAAACGTGGAGAAATGGCGCTATCATATCAATTGATACGTCAGAACTACTTACACCACCACCATTCGAACTGCGATATTCTCAGTCAGCCAAAGGAAACAATGATGTGTTGCAAAAACAACAACTGAAGAAGATATTATTTTGCGTTTAGGCGGTTTAGCATTTACACGTGCGCCGGAAAATTGGTAATCTGCAAAAAAAAAATAAAATAAAATAAAATAAAAAAATGCTACGTGAATGAAAACTAGCCCAATGAGGTTTTCAACCGCGGAAACAGATTTATTGAACGTTTTTTAATGGGGCAATAGAACTGCTCGTCGAATAGCCGTTCTGGAACTCGTTACCAAGATAATTATAGGTTTTTCTTTCGTTTTTCTTTAAAAAATTCTTTTCACTTTTCAACGTACAGGCAATTCATAGAAACTGGGTTATATTCAGAAATAGGTCTTCTAGTCTCACTTATTACAATCCACTACAAATAACCAGCAAAACACACTTGAAAAAAAAACAACTCTGTTTTGGAATAATGGATTTGTCAATTGATTGATTGAGTGATTGATTGATTGATTGATTGATTGATTCATTCATTGATTTTCAGGATAACTCCATATTCGTTTACGTCACACGAAGATTTTACCGCTGAGGAGGTGGGTGATACTTGATTTATTTCTCGCTTAAATGCAGCATCTTAATTTGCTCTTTATTGTTTGGTTGTCGGCATCTTATCTTTGACTGGAATCACGATTTATTGCAGGCTCAAGAGACTGCTGATGAAGCAGGATCCGTGATACTAGCAGAATCTCCATTAAGTATGCCAGAATCATATTTGACTTTAGAACGGCCAACAACGTCGGTCACAAACATGCAAGAAGATTTTAACCAACAAAGAACAGTTGAGTGCTTTGTGTTAACTGCAGTCCAAACTGAAGCGAAAACCACAACTCCTGAATCTACGCCCGAGGCAACTCCCTCCCTATTGAGAACATGTCTTCCTCACAGGGGTGGTAAAACAAGTGAACAGAATCAAGACATCAGTATGGCTGAAATTAAAACTATTTGCTCTGAAGAACAGAATGAAATTGTTATGGAAATGAACGAGGGATCTGTTCAACAGAGACGTGAAGGAACAGGGACGTTACAATCACTTGACGCCCTTGGACAGAATAGAGTAGTATCCGACACCATCCAAAGAAGGGTCTCTTCGGAAGATTATCTTCAACCGGTGGACAACAATAGACTGCAAGTCGCTATTAAGTCGCTGTCAAGTCGGCTCAACCTTCCTAACCAATCAAATCACCTCATTCCTGTAGCGAGGACTTATCACGCAAAGCGACACGGTTATCAGAACGAAAAATTCTCAGACACTCCTTACCAGAATTCATTGCGGCCTACTAACAGTGTGGAGTCTCCATACACGCGCGTGCTCTGTGACACTAACTGGGAGGTACCAAAAGATCATTTGTCATTGATTGAAGAGATTGGCGGTGGCTCATTTGGTCAAGTGTGGAAGGGCGCGATGCTTGATGCGGCTGGCGCTCAAGGCTGGTCAATTGTGGCCGTTAAAATGCTAAAGGGTAAGCAAGAGCGCCTAATTCATAAAATCAATGCAGCTTGCAATGATTTTTTACATCATGGTTAACATAATACTGGGATTTTTCGTAATTCCTTTTGCAGAAAATTCGTCACTTTCAGATCTCAGGGATCTCTTGTCTGAGCTTGACTTGCTGAAGAAACTTAAACCTCATCCAAACGTGATACAATTGAAGGGATGTTTGACCAAGGATGTTATTCGTTGTAAAGGACAAAGGGATTTTAGTAAGTGACAAAATCTGTGCGTACAAACTACTTGTGAAAAAAGAGAAAACTCTTGACTACATCAAACCTTGCCACCCTTAAGGGGTGATTATTACCATAATTACAAGTCAACATGCGGGCTTTTGTCCAAAGCGTAAAGCAGCCCTTTCAGACTGCAAAGCGGCCTGATGAGTAAGGCTTGCGCTAGGGAACCCTCGCTTTCACGTGCGGTCCAACGACGCAAGCATAAACACAAGTATAAGAATACTTTCATACATGGGTCAGCTCAGTTTACGCATACTTCAATATGCTCGCCTATAACGCAGGCTGTAAATACAAACTGGGTTTTAAGAACAAGAAAATTCTTCAAACACGCCGTGGTCATTTATCTGCACAGTTGCTTGGTAAATTTCAAGGTGCGTCTCTCCCCTCTGTTCTGACGTGGAGCGTCTCCAAGCCCACTTGACAGATTTAACAGATAAAGTATGCGTACAGCCTCACAAGACTGCACAAGTCTGTACTAGTAGTCTATTGCTTTACACCCTTTACATACAGATAGAGTTGGATATACAGCTACCTATCTTTGCTGCTTGGTTACACCTCAGTTGCAAATGGGATACGGGTTGATTGGAACAACCTAGGTTTTGTAAACCCACTAGGCCCGGGACGGAATTATCCAACAAAAGTTTATGCGGCCAGCCTCTGCCCCGAGGTCCCTACCATTTCTTGTCAGAAAAAGCAATAATTTCACATATGTTCCGTGCAAAGTGGTGCCTCTTGCACAAAACCAGAGTAAGCTTGCTACATCCGTTTCCTAAAACCTTGGACTGAATGAAAACCGCTTAAAATACTTACAAGCAGATGACCAATCCGACAACCCTTTTCTGGCAGACTCTCCTCTTTTTTATTGCAAACACACATACTTACTTACATTGTAATTAATCTACTTCCAAGACGGCACAATACGCACTACACAATACAACACAATACATTACAATACAATACAACACAACACAACACAACACAACACAACACAACACAACACAACACAACACAACACAACACAACACAACACAACACAACACAACACAACA